TTGCAAAACTGTTGAGTCTGCTGAACGCAGCCACTGAATGCAGTGTTATCTGTGTCTCTTGTTGGAAAGCTCCCAGTATCAACAGATCTGGGGACTTATTACGGTTCCTTGGAGGTTATTACGGTTTTTGTGACAAAGTGAAAATTACAAAAATGATAAAGGTCGATTATGTATCTCGAAATAATGTGAAAATTACAAAAGTGAGCAAATTCACTTGATATTAACCAATTAAATTATGAATATTCTAATAAATTTGCTCACTTTATGTAAAGCTGGTTCTACATTAGTCGCATCTCAGCGTCGCAAACGTTGCGGTCCAATCAACACCAATCTAGCTCGACTCTGATTGGACCGCAATGCTTGCGACGCTGCGATGCGACTAATGTAGAACCAGCTTAATTTTCACCTCATTTCAAGATACACAATCGACTCCCTATTCGTGTTGTTTGTACTTTTTACACTCAGAATCATTGCTTTTTCTTTTTACATCGCCCGATATGTGTTTATTTCATTTTAAATCGTTTCAAATGCAGAAATTTAGAAAATTTCAAACAACACAAACAAATTTATACATGAAATTATTGTCCGAAACGCAATAGTATTCAGCTCTTGCAGTTGATTGGCATATTTCGTTCGATCCAAAAAAATAGGCCTGTTCTTTTTGCACCAGTTCATCTTTCTTCCTTTTCTTTCCTCCTGGAGAGAAAAGGAAAAAAGATGTACTGGTGCAAAAGTTCAGCCAAAAAGAACAAGCCTCTAGTAGTACTGAATGCATCCAATCAGATTTTAAAGAAAAAGAGGGAAAATCAAAAACACAAATATGTTCGACCATCAGGTTGTATAAAGTTCGTTCTTTGTAGTTGAACCTTTTGCACTTCCTATTTTTCTTTTTCCTTGAAGTTTGATTAGATACTTCATTTTTCAAGTTCAGAAAGTATGAGACTTAGGCATCAGACACAATGAAAGAAATAAAGAATAAAGAGGACAAAGCATAACAGATTTCAATCTATTATAAAAGCCGGAATACTGTTTTTACAATAAGTTGAAATCTGTTATTTCTTGTTTTTCTTATTCCTTTCAGTGTGTTTAAGCTCCAATATGATTACGAAAAACAGACATAAATATATTTTGCCTATAATGTATAACTAAAACTTTCTTAAGTACTTTCATGTTCGATTGACATGATTCAAATGACGAACGTCGAAGATACAAGTATTAATTTGCAACATTCATGTGTTATTACGTTTATTTAACGTTTCATACATTGATTACAAATCACCTTGTATATTATTTAAAATACTTGTATATTATTTATAATACAATTAGACTTACAATGTTTTAACTTGTATTTATAAAGTAATTGTATATTCATATATAACGTAGTTATCTTTGTATTACACATACAAGCTCGAAATATTTCCAACTTTAAGACTGGTATTCATAATCGATTCTTATATTTATAAAAATCATCATTATGTACAATCTTAAGATGTGGATTTTCTGTTTAGACAATTTCATGTTGTGGTTATAAGAAAAAACGTAATTATAAAATAATTTTTGATTTCATACATGGATACATAATTATAATATTTAATGCAATATTGCTATAGGCCTTCTTTGTTAGAATAAAATTTTATAATTTTTTTTATCGTTATAAAATGCATGTTACTCAAACGCAAACAAAAATACTGTGGATCACTGCATGATGACCCATGTGACATGATGATAAAGTCACAAAATTAGCCCGGTCAATACATGAAATGTATTGACGGTCTCGAAATAAGAATCGATTATGAATACCAGCATAAATACATCCTCTCGTACTCATCTCAAGACATTTAGCGCTAAATTAGCTGTCCATAAGCCTTGAATAGGACAAATAATTTAGTGATGAATATCGCGCTAGAATAGAATGTTGTGGAATAGAATCACAATATGATACAATCTGCAGTTATACAGCTTTAAAAAAATTAAATTGACACGCATCATACACAGTCAATCCTGAAACAATCAATGATCGCGTTCAGTAGAATATTAGAAGTTTTTTTGCTGAAAAATAGGATTATTCCTTTATATAGAATAATTAGATTTAAAAATATAATCCAATCTCAAAGCGCTTACTAAACATTGACTTCTGCAGAGCTGCAACGTAACAGTACGAACAAAAAAACTTTTTGGAAGTTTTAACAAACCTATTGTGATCGCTCCTAACAAATATTTGTAGTAACTTAAAACGTTTATTCGACTTACACATTTTTTCGTTGATTTTTTTCACTGGTCGTATTAAAATCCGTAATAAGAATCGGAAACTATAATAAAAGAAGCAACTTCTGTTAAACGCGACCATTGCTACTTTGTGTAAAAAATAAAGCGTAAAAAAGTAATATTTCTGAACATGTAACATCTGCTGTTCTGGTAAATAGCCAGACACGAAAAAGTTACATGAAATTTTTAACGATTTAGTCGTTTAGACAAATATTTTAGTAATATTCCGACTCAAAATGTTGTTTGTCTTTTTCCCAGAGTTCTATCAACGTTTCAGATACGTCTAAACTTGGGAATCTCTCTATCCATGATTGAATAAGCCCCGCGAACGACGGCTCGTAGTTTTTCAGTATCACGTTATTAGAATCAGAGCCTAAAATAAATGGAAAAAATTAGATTTATGAAAATATCATGCAGGTATACATAAGTATACACGGATAATACAAATATTTAAAAAATAGCAATAATGTATAAGATTTTCTTTGATAACAAACCGTCAATAAATGTATTTGATTGAACAAAGATCTTCCTTGGTTCTTTGCGAGACAGGATTAAGTCTCTCCAACGACCCCATGGATATGGTCCGTTTTCAGGTACCTCGCTGTATCTGTCGTACATTTTCTTAGCCGACTCAAAATCTCCCATACTCTTATAAACTTGCAGCTTCAGGAGAAAATCTCCAACAGCTTTCTTGCCGACCGTAAAGATTTTGCTTCGATCGACAGTCATACGGAGGTTAGTTCCTTCCTCAGTTTCAACAACATTAACGAAATCCTGGCCCGCCTCCAGGCACACTCTGAGCAGAACGTAACGCGCTTGAGAGTGAGCTTGAGACCACGTTTGCGTGGACGGTTGATACATCTCGAAAGCCTTTGCAAAACCATTCCATAGCAGAGATAACCAGTTTACATAGATTATATCCTCCGCTTCCTGTCCCTCATGATCGAATATTTTCATCGTTTCTTTCTCCAAGCTCAAGTAAAGACCGACTGCCTCCGCCCTGCATTCCTCGTATGTGGATCCCAGAGAGCCGAATTTAGAATCGTAAGTCTCTCCTTTCAAAAAGAATTTGTCTATTTTACCACCGGTAAGAGGATTTATCACAGTGCCACGATCGAAGTTGTACGTATCCGGTCCCGTCTGTTTAAATAATTTACCGGTACCGTGACCGAGAAGCTCGTGGAGACCAACTTGCACCTCAAAACTAGCTATCCTATACTCATGCATCAACGCCTGATCAGCGTCAGATAAAAATGGAATCGTACGAACATCCTTCAAATTGGCAGGTATAACGTTTCCTAACGATACATTTTTAAAACCTTCGGACTGTCTAATCTCGTCGTAATTTGGAATGTTTATTCCCGACGGAATACTGGAACCTGCGAACGTTAGAACATCTAAGGAGGTAAAATCTGGTCTCAAAAATGTGTCCTTCTCGAAATCCTTGTTCCATGGCAGCTTGGGAATGAATTCCTCGGCTCTGTTAACTAGTGTAGCGAATTTTTCAGACATTTGTCTGTTCACCATCGCTACGAAGCCTTCAAATTCTCCTCGTTGACCCGCGGGGTCTCGATACGTCTCGATGAAGCCGATATAGGACTCAATAGATGGTCCTTTGTCCTTTATCCAAAGACGAGAACCGTCTTTATGATCGTCTAAAGATCCTGTTGTGAAATGTTCGATGTATTTTTCCAACATATCTTTTTCAATCTGGTTCGACGCGTGCTCCTTAGCTTTCTGGAGGTTTTCCACAACAGGCACCAAGAGTTTGCTGTAATCTCCTCTGGTAATTTTAAACTTGGCATTTTCGAATGTTTCCTCGGGCAGTGTCACTTTAGGATTATCTGACGTCTCTACTGATGCTAGTTTGATTTCATACATATTAATATTATCGTTACTCGCAGGATCTTTCACTACTGTCTTGAAGCATCTTGCGTTACAGGATTCTAATCCTTTATGTTGCATGAACGCATTGACTTTGTCAGCATCTTCTCCAGTACAGTTTGCAGAGAAATAAGTTGTGATACCTTTGTCACCCAATCCCAGTGATTTTAATTTACCCTTTAAGGAAAACATGGGTTCTGATATTTTATTCCATAGATCTTGCATCTCCTTAGAATTAGTCTTGTAAGCTTTTGAAGATTTTATTATTGCCTCAAATAAACCTTTCGGAATATTGGGGATAATTTTAGTATCACCCATGGCCTTATAGTTGCCTGCATTTGCAAGAATCCCAGAACTGTAAACTAGGAAAGCCTGAAAAATAGAAGATATTCCATCGTTATGTGAATGCTAACTTAATAATCTGCAAAAATAAGAAATAAAAAAAAGATATAAGACGAAAAGAAGAAAGCTTTTCTTATACCGTAAATTGCTCCTGAGTAACACCAGCGCGTACTGAGGAGTTTTCCAAGTCTTCGAGAGATTCTGAGAGAAATATTTTTTGCAATAGTGCAAATATCAGTGGAGATTCCGGCGATGTTTGTATTAATACTATCAATCCTCCGTTCCATGCCGCTTGGCTCAAGTAATGAGAGTACAATTTTTCTTTTTGCGTCAAAGATTTGAAGGCAGTGTCGCATTCCAGAGCGACAACAGGTTGATCATTTGGCAATGTATACAAAGTTTTATCTATATCACTCATTGTTGAATACTGTTGCTGCGTACTGAAAGGAAAATAAATATATGCTATAAAAATCATCTATTTAAATTATCTGTACAACTATGGCTCAAAACATCTTGTAAATTTGATAATCCAATAAATAAATCCTAAACAATAATCAGTCTGTATTAATTCTGAAATATTACCACAGATGAATTTTTACCCATTTACATTTTGAGTTTAGTATAATTTTTGTTTATTAAAATTTTGAGAACATTTAATCCTACTGGTCTGTTTTGTTTTTGAGTCAATATGATAAAAATTCTAAAAAATAAAAAATAAATTTTCATAGAAAAAGATCTTGCAAGGTCATCAAGTATCAAGGGAAAAGTTTTTAAATTAAATATTAGCAAGAAAATAAAATAAATTTTGGATCAAATTGATCAGTAGATCTAATAAGATTGTTTAACATTAAAGATCATTTTTTTCACATTAAAATAATGTTAGTTCAATTATTTAACACCTTGCAACCTATAAAGTAGACATAGAAAGTGAAAAGAAATTCTTTTCCATGTGAATGTATTTTCACCTAAAGTAATATTAATATAAAAAAATATAAATAGCATGCCGAGGTTAATATTATTTCAAAAGTATCTCAAATTTTCCGCTGCTTCTGTACTTGATAGAAACTTTATTGAGATTAGATCTCAACGCAATAGAACACAGTACGAAATATAATCTTTGTATTCATTTAAGACAATGAAAAAGCAACATAAACAATAATTAAAGTTTTTTTTTTATTAATAATGTGTAAAATTGAGTTTGGCGAGCGAGTTTGTCTTGGATATATTCAAAAATAAAAAACAACGCGTTATTAGTAAGATATCACGGTTTGACAGAACAACTCGAGAGCTCATAATTTAGATTTCACGTCAATGTAACGCACCGCGAATACAATCCGGTTGAATTTAGGACGACTTCCGTCCTATGAACGATCTTCGTAGCGCACGGCAATGTGGAATGCGGTTTCTTGCAATTCGCGATTAACCTGAGTGCAATCGAAACTCGTGACTTCGACATAATATTGAACATCTGAAAGGCCACGAATGTCAGACAATGGATATCAATCACGATAGCAAAATATGAAATATGAAATGCCGAATATAAATAAACAGCTTGATTCGTATCCCCAATATAATAATTTTGAACTTTTCGGGAATCTCGAATGGTTATCGCAAGAACATAAAGTTATCAATAAAGTAAAGAGTTTTGAGAAATTTCGGGCTATTCACTTACCAAACCAACCAAATAGAAGCGAATATATGTAGGAGTGAGGAAGATCGTAAAAGAAGCTTCGTCGGAGGCTTTTATCTCTTATAATGGATGTACTTAGATCAAGAAAGATAACTGAAAAGATAACAAGCCCGGATCTTCATACTGGCAACAGCGCTTTGATACCGAGAGCTGATTGATGAAAAACGGGTGATGGGGGTAAATTTTATCCCCACAACCGGCTTTTCACCAATTAGCTCTCGGTGTCAAAGCGCTGTTGCCCGTATAAGGATAATGCGAGGTCTACAGTAGAAGTCGTAACGGTCGTAGGGTCTTAAGTCGTAGAAAATTGATCAATCATAGTTGATTATTCTTCTCATATTCGACTGTGATTGGTCAATTTTCTACGACTTAAAACCCTACGACTGCTACGACTTCTATTGTAGACCCCGCATAAAGTCACTAGAGGTTTGTTCGCGTCGCATGCTCCAACATGTTCCAATATGCTCCTACCATAGCTCATATTCAAGAATTTTACAACAGTGTTAAGCGGGGAGCACAGACTTTTGCATAACGCATAACATGTAATGCATAAGAAATTCAATCAATCAGAATTCTTTATTTCATGGAAAGGAAGGAAACGGAGGGCTTTGATTGGTACATTTTCTTATGCATTACGTGTTATGCGTTATGAAAGAGTCTGTGCTCCTGCTTTAGGGTATATCCACACAACTTGCATAGC